TACTAAAAATCGACTAAAGTCTCTGGTTCTTGAGTTTTTGTTTTTTAAATTGACCCCATACCAATGTATACATACATAATTTGTGTATATATATATATATATACATACACGTAATACACACACATATATATATATAATGTATGTAATGTATGTATGTATGTATGTATGGTAATGTAATGTAATGTAATGTGATGTGATGTGATGTGATGTGATGTGATGGTATGGTATGGTATGGCATGTATGGTATGTATGTATGTATGTATGTATGTATGTATGTATGTATGTATGTATGTATGTATGTATGTATGTCTGTGTGTGTGTCTGTATGTATGTATGTATGTATGTAATGTATGTATGTATGTATGTATGTATGTATGTATGTATGTATGTATGTATGTATGTATGTATGTATGTATGTATGTATGTATGTATGTATGTATGTATGTATGTATGTATGTATGTATGTATGTATGTATGTATGTATGTATGTATGTATGTATGTATGTATGTATGTATGTATGTATGTAATGTATGTATTTATGTATGTATGTATGTATGTATGTAATGTATATATATATGTAATGTATATATATATATGTAATGTATATATATATATGTAATGTGTATATATATATGTCTATATATATATATGTAATGTACATATATATATATATATGTAATGTGTATATATATATATATGTAATGTATATATACATGTGCTATTATACATATCTACATAATATATATATGTATACACATATTTGTAGATATGCCAGCATTTATAAACATAGCCTCTTTGCATGTTGATGTAAGTTTCTGTAGATACATAAATGAAAAGCCAACAAATAGCAAAATCATAGTGTGAGTTACATCTCCAATGTAGGGAGTACATCCATCTACCAAGTCATTGCAGGTCACCAAATATCACCAGAAGCAAATCAACCATTATTGACCGATCACATTTTACTTTACGGATCACATTTGATCAGCCAAATGTTGGCCCGACAATTTGCAAATCCAGTATGGCGTGCGCTGCCTGGATGTAGCCATTTGCCAGCTACCTTGGCCTGGACCCAGGAACGCCAAGCAGATTTCTATGTGTTGCATGTGTTGATTTTGTATGTGCACATAGATATGTCATCATCCATTTGTCTATTCTAATCTGTTCCAAGCCAATGTAATCCAAAGCTAATCCAATCCAATCCGACCCAATCTAACCTAATCCTATCTAATGTACATTAATTTGACGAACTCTGATTTATCTATATTTATCTAATCTAAATCTAATTAATCTCATCTACTTAATCCAATCTAATTGATCTGATATGATTAATCCGATCTAAGTAATCAAACGAATATAACTAATCTACTGTAATCTAATTAATCAAATGAATCTAGTGAATATAAATTGATCTAATGAATCTAATTAAACTAATTAGTCTATCTAATCCAATCCAATCCAATCTAATCTAATCTAATCCAAATCCAAATCTATCCTATCCAAATCTATCCATCCTAATCCTAATCTAATCCATCTACCTCTCCACCTATCTCTTCACCTATCTACCTATCTACCTATCTATCTTTCTATCTGTCTATCTATCCATCCATCCATCCATCCATCCATCCATCTATCTGTCTATCTATCTATCCATCCATCCATCGATCTATCTATCTATCTGTCTATCTATCTATCTACCTATCTATCTATCTATCTATCTATCTTATCTATCTTATCTGTCTTATCTGTCTTATCTATCTTATCTATCTTATCTATCTTATCTATCTTATCTATCTTATCTATCTTATCTATCTTATCTATCTTATCTTATCTTATCTTATCTATCTTATCTATCTTATCTATCTTATCTATCTTATCTATCGTATCTATCTTATCTATCTTATCTATCTTATCTATCTTATCTATCTTATCCATCTTATCCATCCTATCCATCTAATCCATCTAATCCATCTAATCGATCTAATCCATCTAATCCATCTAATCCATCTAACCGATCTAATCGATCTAATCGATCTAATCGATCTAATCCATCTAATCCATCTAATCCATCTAATCTAATCGATCTAATCGATCTAATCGATCTAATCGATCTAATCGATCTAATCGATCTAATCGATCTAATCGATCTAATCGATCTAATCGATCTAATCGATCTAATCGATCTAATCGATCTAATCGATCTAATCGATCTAATCGATCTAATCGATCTAATCGATCTAATCGATCTAATCGATCTAATCGATCTAATCGATCTAATCGATCTAATCGATCTAATCGATCTAATCGATCTAATCGATCTAATCGATCTAATCGATCTAATCGATCTAATCAATCTAATCGATCTAATCGATCTAATCGATCTAATCGATCTAATCGATCTAATCTATCTAATCTATCTAATCTATCGAATCTATCGAATCTATCTAACCTATCTAACCTATCTAATCTATCTAATCTGTCTATTCTATCATTCTATCTATTCTATCTATCTATCTATCCTATCCTATCTTTTCTTATCTTATCCTATCTTATCTTATCTTATCCGTCGGTCCGTCGGTCTGTCGGTCTGTCGGTCTGTCGGTCTGTCTGTCTGTCTCTCTGTCTCTCTGTCTCTCTGTCTCTCTGTCTCTCTGTCTACCTGTGTACCTGTCTACCTGTCTACCTGTCTGGCTGTCTGGCTGTCTGGCTGTCTGGCTGTCTGGCTGTGTGGCTGTCTGGCTGTCTGTCTGTCTGTCTATCTGTCTATCTGTCTATCTATCTGTTTATCTCTCTATCTCTCTATCTAGCTATCTGTCTATCTGTCTATCTGTCTATCTGTCTATCTATCTGTTTATCTCTATCTCTCTATCTAGCTATCTAGCTATCTAGCTATCTAGCTATCTAGCTATCTAGCTATCTACCTATCTATCTATCTATCTATCTATCTATCTATCTATCCATCCACCTATCCATCTATCCATCTATCCATCTATCCATCTATCCATCTATCCATCTATCCATCTATCCATCTATCCATCTATCCATCTATCCATCTATCCATCTATCTATCCATCTATCTATCCGTCTATCTATCTATCTATCTATCTATCTATTAATCTATCTATCTCTCTCTATATATATATATATCTCTCTCTCTCTATCTATCTATCTATCTATCTATCTATCTATCTATCTATCTCTCTCTCTCATCTATCTATCTATCTATCTACCTACCTACCTACCTATCTATCTATCTATCTATCTAATCTATAAATATGTGGTACTCCCTCATCCATCGGCAGTCTTGGCTACTTCAGGGTTCAGGCAGTGATCCAGTCGGAAATAAAGAAATCCAACAGCTCGTGAAGAGCGTTGTCAATTCACGTCGGACACCTCGCGTTGCCTGGGATCGAAAAGGATGAACTCGGAGCGTAGATGGGGGAATGAGGTAACTTTTTGACGCTTGTTGTCCATAGAAATGAGGAGAATTCAGCCCGGTGTGCCACCAGATTTCTCCAAGACCTTCCAGACTTTCAGGTTGATGAAACACAATTTGGGACTTGGGCAGTTTTATTACCAATTGGTCGCAAATCGTGGACAATTTTTGTGTTTCCCTACCGAATGAAGGCGTTCCAGCTACAATCCCAGCATGTCATAATATTTCAGGTTTCCAGAACATGGGGGAACCGAAAACTATTAGTCAATTGACAAATCTGGGATGAATTTGGGGTCCCCATACCTCAGGAAACTTAATTTTTGATCCATTCAGTTGGGGTTTGTCTAGCTGACTTGGATGAACTATAGAGCACTTGCCCAATGTCTTGCCATTTGCGGGTTTGAACATCCATATCCTCAAAATGGAGGTGAATTATAGCATATGGTGATAGCTGGTTTACCACATTTAGCCCCATCCCTCCGTATTGGTTTGCAAAAGATAGGGCAAAACATGGCTTAAAAACCTATAGCATCCATAGCATCCAAGATCACCCAAGATAATCCCCATGGCTTTCAGCATGATTCAGCCATATCATCCCATGAAACGATCATTTCCAAGAGGGTCCTCCCAAAATTGCTGGCGTTGATGGATGTTCACCATCAACCAATAGTCCCATTAACAGGCGGAGGAATCATCAGCAAGTGTTTTAAAAATCATCATTGAACCAGTGTTGAGAGAATGACAATACTGAAATATTTTTTCGTTTCAACGGAATGCTGATATCACCAACTCATTCTAGGTATATAAGCAGCTACCGGAGGCTTAGCTTCAGCAATGGCAATATTTAGTTTCCCATAAAAAAGGTTTATGATCCCCCAAATTAGGGATTAATACACGGAAACTCCAAAAAATATCTAAAATCAATAAAACTCCTACTTTATGATAGTGATATATAGTTATTCGACCTTTTGTTGGGGCTTGATATATATATATATATCCATGACCCTTTGGTAATGAAACATGGCAATGGAACATCCACCATTTCGTAACCGATGATTTTCCCAATTTTTCCAGGCATTTTGTTTGGCAGTTTTCCAGCTAGCCATGTTTGATTACCAGAGTGCATCCATATCTTCCATGTGTTTTCCAACTATATATATATATACATATTTATCCCATGATATCCCAGAATAAAAAAACATTTTTTGATGCCAAACCACATATCCATGATAGTCTATTATTATCCCACTATTATCCCTATTGAACCATTACAAAACAAACAATGAAACTGGCATGAAACCTCCATTTTTGGGGATGACATCACCATTCAAATCCCATGGTTGATCCCTATTTGTGAAGGTTAAATCCCATGTAACCGCATTAAATCCCATTAAAACCCATTGCATCACATGGAATCACATTAAATCCCATTGAATCCCATGCAATCACATTAATTACCATTGAATCCCATGCAATCACATTAATTACCATTGAATCCCATGCAATCACATTAATTACCATTGAATCCCATTGAACCTTCCATTATCCTATCATACCCATGTCATGTCATGGCCAGGAGCTGCGCTGGACGCTGCTTCGCTTCCTGAGCTCCTCGGCGCGTCCTGCCTGTCCCGTGAGTGCCGTAGGGCTCAATGCGGCGCTGAGGAGGGAACATCTGCGCCGGGATCCCCGGGAGCAGTGAAAGATCAACGCGGGTTGAGTCGGAGATGTTCGGAAAATGGGAGACACCTGGTGGAAACATGGTGTTTTAATGTGTTTGATGTGTTTCTACTTGGGATTTCAGCAAGAAAACTGGTGCTAGAATGGGATATTCATGGGATAGATATGGGATATTGATGGGATGTGGGTTAAAAGCCACACATCCATGGAGATCGCCGAGATTCATGGGGGAAATGAACAGGAATACAGGGATGCAAATGGGGAAATGAAATGAAATGAACGGATACGTTTTACCAACCATATGATATTTGTGTGTGCCTGAAAATGGGGGATTTGCCGCCAAAGATGGTCAGGGGAAATGGTGACATACCATTGGATTTGGGGGTACGCTCATTTTCAGACCAACACAAACATTGGGAGAATGACCTAAGAATTGAACTTATAGGGGATATTCCACTGTTCCAAAACCGAATCGAATCTAAATCCAATCCGAATCCTGCCTTTCGCAACTTTAATTCTATCGATTTAAACCATTCAATCCGATATGATCCATTTCTTTTAATCCAACCTTTTCATGTCTTATCTTTTCATATCCTTTCTTATAATATCCTCTTCTTATCGTCTATCTGATCTTATCTTCTCTGATTTTACCTTATGCATCTCTCAATCTCCAGGTAGTCTAAAGTGATTGTGGACCCACAGCAGTGTCTTTTGTGTCTGCTTCAGGAGCTGCAAAGGAACTGCGATGGAATGTGAGTTTGTTCAGAAATGAGGAACATGATGATAAACCGTTGGATTTTGGACACTTTATTTTTGGATCAACCCGCGTCATGACCTTCTACGGTTGCAGGTGCTGGCCATCCACGGTCTGCGCTGTCGGTGTTTCGAGCCGCTGTCTCTTGGTGAGACGGAGTGGATGGGTGCCAGGTCTCCATTCAGAACCCAGCCAGAACAGACCCTGAAAGGGACAAAGCCACGCAAATTTCAAGGCCAGGATACAGTGAAAAAAGCAGTGCCGCAAAGCAGAAACCATTTGATATGCCACGTTGCATGGCCTGGTAGTCCGGTCACAACTGCAACATTTCTTGGTTGATTTCAGGTGATGCTTTGAAATAGAAGAGACTCGACACAAATGCAGAAGGGGATCGAGAAAGGCGGAGTTTGCCTCCAATTCAACAAAATTCAAACAGAAGCACCCTCTGGTAACGCAACAGTTACCTTGGAAAATCACAATCATCGAATTAAGTGGGCCGACTTCCATAGCTATCTTAAATTATCTGAGGGTAGATCTGAATGGGGTTTTCTCAAATTTGAAGTACCCAGTTTCACCATACAGCCATATAAATCCATGTACATCCATATACATCCACATCAATCTAGGTACCCATATTCAAAGTATCAGAGCGTAGTTTCACCATCGGTTTCCAATGTTCAAAGTCGCCAATTTCGGATACTCTTTGGGGTCAGGGTCCAGCTGTGCCCAGGACACTGCGGCTGCCCTGCAAGCCATTTTCCAAGGTTTGAAGGCAAGACCCCTGATTTCCGCTGTTTCAACCAGGTCATTTTTCCACAAACAGTGGCCGCACTTGGGGTTCTTACGGTAAGGGTTAAGGCCTGGTGTCGAGGTGGTCTCATACGTGCGAGCGCGCGCGCCATTTTTGATGACCATTACAGCACAAACGCCCCTTCATCTTTCCTTTCCCTCATCTTCCGTTTTGACGGAAGTATCGCACGAAACTGTGGCTCGAAGACCTCTCACGCAACCCTCTCGTCAGTTTGGGCCTCTCAGATCGCTCTCGTTGTGGCGTGGTGTGAATTTTGAGATCGCTCACGCGACCCTCTCGTCACTTTGTCCGTGTCAGATCGCTCTCGTTGTTGCGCGGTGCGAATGTTGAGCTCGCTCGCGCAACTCTCGGCACTTGGGGCCCGTTAGATCGCTCTTGTTGTGGCGCGGTGGGAATTTTGGATCTTGCCAAGAGACCTCTCTTAGGGAGCTTGTGCAGGGATCTTGCCAAGAGACCTCTTATAGAGATCTTTTACAGAGGCATTGCATGGAGATCTGTTGAGATCTTGCCAAGAGATCCCTTAAGCCTTACAGAGATCTTGCCAAGAGAGCTCTTATAGACAGCTTCTACAGAGACCTCAAAAAGAGATCTCACCAAGATACCTCTTACAGGGAGCTTTGTACATAGATCTGGCCTCTCGTTTTGAGATCTGTGCAGAGATCAAGAGGTCTATCAGAGAGATTTTGCCAAGAGACATCCTTTGGAGATCTTGTACAGAGATCTTGCCAGGAGACCTCTTTTACAGATCTTGTACAGAGACCTGGTGAAGAGCACAGAGATTTATAGGGAGTTTGAACGGAGATCTTACTTTGAGATCT